ATATCAACATCTAGCATGAGGAAAACACAATCTCATCCACCTGGGGTTTTTCCACTGTGCTGTAAGTCTGTATATAAGGCTGCTCCCTCTCTACAATAAGAAGAGACTTCTTAACATTTGCAATAAAGATACACACACACACACTTGGAAAAAAGGTACGCACAGCCATTCTCTTAGCATAAACAACTGGATGTCTTGTCTTTCATTTCCTGATGCCTCGGACTTGCTTGTGGTACAGAAGCTGCAAGTAGAGGTCTCACCAAGACTTGGAGAGACCACTTAGCACAAAAAAAACCAGATGTCTTTTCTTTCAGTTCAATCTCAAGGCTTTCACATGATATATTAGACTTGATCATGGCACACGCACCACAAGTGCAGGTCCCATTGAGATCTGGAGACACTTGGAAAGATTGGGAAAGATCAGGAAAGAAAGGAGATTGGAAAAGAAAGGAGAGTCTTGAGAATGAAAGGAATTGAAAACAGGTACCTCAACTTCTAAGAGTTAGTAAAATTGAATGATTAAATCTCCAGGCTTTTGCCAAAGGGATAGCCCTTGGTTGGAGGGTGGGTTGATTTAAATCTCTAGGCTTTTGCATGGTCTACTGAGATCAGGAAAGAAAGGGGAACCTGAGAGATCGCCCTCAGAGGTTAGGAGGGTAAATTGAAACGGGTACCAAGTTACAGGTACCAAGTTATGGGTACCAAGTTAAATCTCCAGGCTTTTGCCTATCACCAAGATCAGGAAAGAAAGGAGAAACTAAGAGATCGTCCTCAGAGTTTAGGAGGGTGGATTGGATTAAATCTCCAGGCTTTTGCACCACACTGAGATTGGGAAAGAAATGGAAACCCGAGAGATCACCCTCAGAGGCTGGCCACCATGTAAGGTTGTATTGGAAAATGGATACCTCAGCTTTTAAGGCTGTATTGATAGAACAGTTAGTAGAAATGTTAAAGGGACAAGGTAACCAGCATTGAGCTAAAGACAGCTGAAGATTTTATTTTAAATCTGGAAAAGACAAGTCCATGGTTTTTATACTCAGGAGCGCTTAATATCCCTGATTTGGAACAAGTGAAAAATGACTTCCAAAAGGCTCTTCAGAAACAGAGACCTCTTAGCATTTGCAATAAAGACACACACACACACACATACACACACATTCTCTTGCAATAAAGGCACGCATATGCATTCTCTTAGCACAAACAACTGGACATCTTTTCTTTCATTTCCCAATATATCAGACTTGCTTGTGGCATGGAAGCCACATTTGTATGGACAGTATAATCAGATTTTACAATCAAAGTCATTTTAAGACTATCACAACCAAAAAAGGAGAGCAGTATCTATCAAGAACATAGTTTCATAAGTCTCCAATGAAGTATTAACGAAGCCAATGATATAAGAAAGAGATGACCACAGCTACTGAGCTTCATCTTTAACAGTTTGGTATTTGAGCTTCCAAAAATCCTACAGTAATCCATCATAGAGTGTACAGCAAAAAAGGACACAAGTAAAAAATTGGCATATCAAAATTCAAGCACAATTCATGAACATTCACCACAACTATAGGACTAAATTGGATAGCATAATTTTAGAGTCATACCCTCAGCTGAAGGACTGCCAAATGAGGAGAACTTGACTATCTTTCCCTCTATTCCAACTAAGGACATATTTAGGAGAAAAACAAGATTTAATCAAAGAACATGGAGAACAGCTAAATTGGAGTCAGTGATCAAAACCTTGTGTTTGTGTTACTAACATAAAAGGAGAAAAACTGGGAGTGAGGAGCAGAGGTTTTCCTAATTAAGCATTCCTTGTAAAGGTGTGACCAGGTTTATTGTTATCTCAGTTTTGGTTTTGTAAAGGGGATTGAAGAAGCCTTGACTTGAGGGGAAAAATCTGGGTAGTAATGATTTCTACTCCAGGATTGACCTCATTGTATAAGGATATGTCCTGTAAAGCTTGCTATTGCTTAGGGCACAGTGGATAACAGTTGTTAATCTCTTTTCACAGAAGTGTTTATTAATCCTGGAGTCCATGGTGAGTACAGAGTGATTCAAGGGGGAAAGGGAAAGTAGAAAACATGGCCAGATAGGAGAAGAATGGAGGTATGACAGTGTGACAATGTCGTAGTTCGGATTTCTATTGCTGTGAAGGGACACCATGACTGCAGCAAATCTCACAAAGGAAAACATTTAATTGAGGTAGTTTCAGCCCATTATCATCATGGGAAGGTGGTGCATGGTGACATGCAGGAAGACATGGTACTAGAGAAGGAGCTGAAAGTTCTATAGAAAGAGACTGTCTCACTAGGCCTAGTTTGAGTATATAAGAACTCAAAGCCTACCTCCACAGTGATACACTTCCTCCGAGGTCACACTGCCCAATAGTAAATTCCTTATGGGCCAAGCATTCAAACTTGAGTCTATGGGGCCATTCATATTCAAATCACCACACAGGTATTGTTGTTCTCCATCAAAACAAAATGCCTTTCAACACTGAATATACTGGAGTACATTTATATGATGCAATACCCCCAGAAAACATTACATATATTACAAATTCAATGTGTAGCTGTGGTTAAAATTTTATACATCTTCCTATGCTAAAGATGCCCAGTCCTCAAGAGCGACATGTGGTTTAATTCTTATCCACAGCTCCTGAAAAAGGCAAAGGTAAACATGAAGCAAAAACTGGGGTAATGGAGCTTAGAACTTGGACAATGGGCTGTCATGGGACGCCCACAAGTGGAAAAATTATGTCATTTATAAGAATAGCAATGGGCATAGGTAAGCATGTGACTCCACACTGGTGAGAAACCATGTACATGGACATGGCAGAGCAGGGAATTTAGGTCTATGCCAGAGTACATCCACAGCATAAGTAAGGCCTGACTTTAATCCCAAGTAATGAGAAACACAGGTAGAAAGACAGATGAGTTAGATATACATACAAAGAGACAGAGAAATAGCAGTTAAAAAAATACATGAAAAGTAAGTATCACATCACTATAAGTAAACGTAAAAGTGTTGTTTGCATAATCAATGTAGGCTAGATTATTGGCGCAGATTTCATAAACAGTATAAATAGTAAAATTTCCCTTAATTTTCATCTTTGTGAAAATTGCTAGTTGCATACATGTAATAAATTGTCAATAAAAGCTTATTTTTCAAAAAATGCATCTTATAAAAGGTAAGAGGTGATTTAATCACAATTATTAATTATGATTTTTAAACTTTTCTATAATAAAGTTTTAAAAGGTTACTAAGGGAACCTGATTGAGAACACATTTCTATAATTCACACAGCAGCTTGAGGCAGATTAATCACTGCTTATTCCAGCCAGTCTGGACTAGAACTGAGACCCTGTCTCTGAAAGACCCCCAGTCCAGAGTGGGGAGACTCTCACTCAAGTCTCGGGATAAGCTAACGCTTATCAATAATTCAAGCACACGAGGTTTATTCGGGGAACCAGTGCACTGGGGCCGAGCCCATGACCCTCTCAGGGGCAGAGGAGTTCGACCCCTAGTAGCTGCAGTTGGGGGTTTCTTAAAGGGAAAAAAACTGAATCAGGGAGTTGGCAAACATCATAAACATAACGGATGAGGAAGTTAAATGATAGCTTATGACTTAACAGGAAGGTTATCTCAAACAAGCATTCTTTAGGCATTGCACAGTTAAACATTTAGCAGGAATGTGATGAGCTAGTTCCTGGATAAGGGAGGGTTATCTTTTAGGTTTATCTTGAGGTCTCTGGTTTCTCAGGAGAGGGCAGAAGGACAAATCACTCTGTGATGGGCTAGTCGCTAGGGGGTCTAAAAATGTTGAGTTGGGATCTCTCATCTCCAAAACAAAACAAATCAATAAATGAGAGAAAAAAAATTAAGAAAACAGAACAACAATTTAAAAAAAAGGTTGGGAAATGGAGACGATTCAAAGTTCACACTAGTGTATATTATTAATAGAGATGTACAAGGTTGAGGAATTAAAACTAAATTATACCAATGCTCTTAAGATTGTTTCCAAATATGTCCAAAAATAAAATACCCATTCAAAAGCATTGTAATTACTAGTAATGTTAGAGACTAAAATACAATGTGTTGTTTATAAATGAAATTTCTCAAATGTCTTAAGAAATTTCCAAGTAAAACAGTAAATATTGTGACTCATTTGCTCAGGCACCAAATTATCTCTGCATGACACATTATCCTAAAACATAGTCTCCAAGAAATTCCTTTTCCCAGGGTCTCATTTAGACAAATCCAGTTTCCTCTGGGGCTTGAAGAAACTGGGAGTCTTTCTACTAATCTGGCAAAAGTGACAAGTGTCTCTCCCAGTAACATATGCCTGTGGTATTTCTTACTTGTCAAGGTCAATACTAGCCTCTAGGCTCCCTCAGTATCTGCTCAGGAACCTGTCCACTCCAGCTCAGAGCTCACAAGCCTCCTTCTTCCTATTCCCATTTAAGCCTGGAAATATTTCCTCTGTCAGTTCTTGCTTTCCCAGGAGACAACCTTGACACTTTGAAGTAAACTTTTCCCTAATCATTCAAAGAGTACCTATTTTAGTTTCTTTATTGTGCCCATTTTATGGTCACTTATCTGTGAAGATCCTTGAGTTAAGAGAATCTATGAACCTCTTTGGTCTCTCCTTACGACACCCACAGTGACCTTGCTTTTATATTCATTTGTTCTTCCCCCATTATTTTGTCCATTGAGAAATCTTTTCATTCTCCCGCTCAAACTGGAACTGGTGATACAGCCATATAACCCAGGCTTGGCTTGAATTCACACCAACCCTCTTGCCTAAGTCTCCTGAGCACTGAGAATGAAGGCTAAGTCACTTTCTTGTACTAGATTTTTTATTATTATTAATTTTTTCATGCAATATACTTGTGTTTTCCTTTCCCCAATTCCTCCCTGATTCTCTCAACCAGCTTCAGATTGTTTCTACCCCAAGTGCCTCTATTATTCTGAAGAGACACCATAACCAAGTCAACTTACATTTACTTGTAGCCCGCTCTCTGTGTCAATAGTTGACTCCCTGAAAGTCATTGTGGGAAGAATGGCAGCAGCTAGGCAGGCCTGGCACGGGAACAGTAGCTAAGATTTCACATCTGATTCCCAAGAAGGAGGCAAAGAGTGAAAAACTAATACCGACTTAAGCTTCTGAAACTTCAAAGCTCATTTTCAGGGACATACCTCAACCAACAAGACTACACATCTTAACTCTTCCTAAATGGTCTGCCAACTAGTAACCAAACATTCAATCAGATGTTCCTATGGAGACAATTGTCTTTCAAACTTCTACATTCTACTCCCTGGCCACATGGGCTTGTAAACACATAACAATGCAAAATGCATTTAATCAAACTTGAAAAGTCCTCATAGGTCTTCAGTTTCAGTGTTGTTTGAAAGTCCAAATCTCTTCTGAGACTCAAACTCAAAAAGCAAATTATGTATTTCCGACACACAATAGCACAGAATTATCAATTCCATTCCTAAAGTGACAAATGGAGGCATTGAAAGGTTCAGGCACTGAGCCTGCCCCTGGTAACTGACAGAATACACTCAGGCAGTACTCTGTTCAACCCAGAGTGCAAACTCAACATCTAGTAATTCCACATCTCATTTCAAAGGGCTACTTAAAACTTTTCTGGCTGCAACAAACTTTTCTTCCTTTGACTGATTCTGCTTCCTCTTTGTAGGTCTTCTAGGCTGTCATCCCATGGCTCTGCCATCTCCAGTATCTTGGAGTCACCAATGAGTTCTAACTGTTTCTTTAACAGCTTCATACAATATCCTCTCTAGAACTCCATGTAGGAACTCCTCTACGTGATTGGCCTCAGATGTTTTCCTTAACCACAGAGGAAGATTTCACAGCTCCTTAACTCCTGTGTACTTCTTGATAAAGCCAGAAATACCTGGGGAAATCTTCCAAATTCTGCTGTCTGCTAGGGCTTAAACTGGCCCCCCTCCTGGAACTACATTTGCATAGGCTTTGACATGTTGGTGCTTTTTAGGATGAGGAAACCCTCTAGGCCTCTTGTCCTCACGCAGGCTGCTTGACTGGTTTGACAGTATTTAGCACTGAAAGCACCTTTCCATTTATTCAGTTTAGCATCAGGCTTTTCTTTAAATTTCTTCTCTACTGAAAACAAGACTTGGCTGTAACATTACACTTTCTGTTGTTCTTTTTCTACTCAAAGTATTCATTTGCATTTCCTTTTTGCATCACTTGCTCTTTTTTATTTTAGAATGTCATAATAGTAATCACTAATGTCATTGTAAACAGTTTTTTAAAATTATTTCTGCTAATGAAATTAGCACAAAACTCTTCGATTTAGCCTCTGGCGAATTCATAAGAAAAGGGCAAAAAGTAGCTACATTTTCTGCTGAAATATCACAAAAATGGTCTATAGCCCAGTAGCTGGTCTGGTATCCCTTTGAAACCTCTGGAATTGGTTTTCGATAGTCCACATTGCCCTTAACACTGTCTTGTAGTCTCCTACTAAGTTAGTCCGTTAAATCCCATTTCTGCACACAACTGCTTTCCCAATCCAAAGTCCCTGTCTAATTCAGGGGTTGCTACTGTTGCAAGGAAACACCATGACTAAAATAGCAATCTGGGCATAGGTGTTTATTTGCTTATACTTTCATATCTTTGTTCATCATCCAAGGAAGTCAGGACAGAAATTCAAACAAAGCCAGAACTTGGAGGCAGGAGCTGATGCTAAGGTCATGGCAGGCTGCTGCTTACTGGCTTACTTCATGTGGCTTACTCAGCTTCCCTTCTTATAGAACACAGGACCACCAGCCCAGGAATAAAACCAAGCACAATGGATTGTTCTCTATCCCATTTTAATCACTAATTAAGAAAGTGCCTTTCAGCTGAATCCTATGTAGGTAGTTTTTGAAATAAGGCCTTTCTTCTCTGATAACAATAGCCTGTGTCACCCTGACATAAAGCCAGACTGTATAGTACCAAAATCCTAATTAGTATCCTTTTTTTTCACTGAACTGTCACTTGGCTATTCCTATCTTGGAGTGTGGTGGTATATCCAAGTGACATTTCAGTGAAAAAAAATACTAATTTTCTCTTTTTGCTAGGTACCATTTCAAAATAGCTGCTGGCTCGGGGCAGGATCCTGTATTCACTTCCACTTTTCAGTAACAGGAAATGTTCTGATTTGAACATGTGCAGATCTGGTGTGTGCTGTCACAGTCCCTGTGCTTTATTATGTGTGTAAGCTCTGTTGTGTCTGAAAGATGCTGTTTCCTCATAGCCATCTCCACCTCTGCCTCCTCTTCTCCTTAGATCCCTGAACCTTGAGGGGGGTTAATTAAGACATCCTCCTTAGGGCTCACTTCCCACTGCCAGCATGTTCAAAACCCTGCTGGCCATCTACTCTAACAGCAATGGCTTCTCCTCTTTGTTTCCTGCCATGTTAAGTTTCTCCCAGCTGCTACTTTCACTTAAAAAGTTAATTAGTTCACTTCATTTTAGCCTTGTTGAAATTGTAAGTTTTTCAGTGAATTAGTTTTAAATCTCCCAATGAAAACTGTCTTAGGATATATGTACTAAGTAGTTGCAGTTTTCTTTTTAAAGTCATTTATTTTGCACCCTATAGCCTGATGCTGTTCTTTTTCTGAATTTGGTTGTTGTTAGCAACCAGGACGGCTGCAAATTTCACTTCCCTGATCAAACTTTTCACGGGTCTCTTTCAAAAGAGCTCTGGATTATTATTTTTCTGAGCCATCTATTTTAAATAACTTGTGTTTGTAAATTTTTTCTCTGCTTCTTTGAGATGTAAATCTTTCTAACAGCCCCTTGTCAGTTTTACAACCCAGAACATCCCTTTCAAGAACCTGCAGACTGTATTTGAAAAGTATTCATGAAAGAAGAACAAGTCCTACTTCCCAGCTTGGGGTGAAGAGCAAACCTGAAAGGAGCTGAGACTTTACTTCATGTTGTGAAATTGCCTACTGCCATAAACATAAAACAGTTAATTTTCCACTGAGTGGACTGCTCAGTGACCCTTTGTGACCCTGGTTTTCTCTAGCCCAGCAACCCAGGTCCATTCCGGCTTCACCTAGGCTCCTGCTTCCCAGTGAGGTCACAGGTTCATCTTGTCCCACATACTTTCTTTAACTGCTTTGCTTTGTGTCCCATCTCTTAAAATTCTAAAAGAATAAACGAAGCACTGTTCCTTACATGAATGTATATCTGTGTTTGCAATGCAAATGGCTACATTTTTATACATACCATGTAAATATGTCTGTCTCTTATTTCATGGATTTTAAATAAAACTTGGAAAACAGATAAAAATGAATTATTACAATTGTAAATTTGTCACTCTAATTAATTGAACAATACTTTCTATAGGACATTACCTTTGAACACACCTGAATTTCCTATCTGTATATTTCATGTTCAAAAATTCAACCAACTATGGTTCAAAAATGTCTACATAAACACAAACAGATATGTTGCAAGATCCAGCCTGGGTCTTGTCCACTTTAGCCCCCAAATAACCCACGAGACACTATATTAATTCTGAAGCTGTTGGCTGTTTGCTATGGTTTCTTAGTGGCTATCTCTGACTTCATTATTAACCCATAATTACTAATATAAGGTCTTATCTTACCAAGAATGCCAGATTGTATTCTCTCTTCCTGGGATCACATGAGGACTCTCTCATCTTTACTACCTTTCCCAGAATCCTCCTGACTCTTAGTCCCAAGTATCTTGCATTCTTATGGGCCAACAGTGATTTATTCATCAATATATACCCAGAAGGACTTTTCCCATCATAGATATACTGTTATTTTGTCATTATATTCTTAGATGTGTGTCATAATAGCCATTTATATAGCAAGCAAATGTTTCAGATTTTATGAGTAATCTAGAGAGTATTTAATCTGTTTTTGAGAATGTGGCATGTTAGATGGAAATACAATTATACATGTGAGACTTGATCTTACATGAAATTTGGAATCCACAAGGGATCCTGAAGTTAGTCTACTACAGATATCCCAGGAAAGCTCTGCTTAAAACCAAAATCAAGTGAAAAAGCAAATTCCTACAGTAGACAGCTCTACTTGTTGTATTTGCTCTATTTGATTTTAGTGAATAGGAAAGCAATTTTAAACTTAGAATATATTTATATATCATCTTAGATTCACCATATTGAGACTACAAGTCTGAAATAAAATAGTTGAGATTTTAAGTCCAAAAAACCTGTAATATCTTGACTTTTAGATATGTCACAAAACATTGGAATCATAAGGACTGAATTTCTTTTCTATTTATATACTATATTTGAACATTTTGTATTTGTGGTCAAAGTGACATTGCCATTTAATAAAATTATGCCTATCAAAATTAAAAGTCTTTGTTTTTTAGAACATAAATAATTGATTAATTTTTGAAGTGTATTTACTTTATGTTCTTATTTATATCTGTTGACCACATGTGTGTTTGGTGCATGGAAAGGCCAGAGAGAATATAGTAGCACCTAAATCTGGAGTTATGCACTGTTGTGAGCTATCATATGTGTGCCAGAATTTGAAAATGATCCATAGGCCGAGCAGTATGTGCTCTTAACCACTGAGCCATCTCTCTAGCCCTGTCCCTGGTTTAAATAACAAGTAGCAAAGCTATTTCCAAGAGTGAAAAAAAGAATAAGGTTGATGATGTTATTTTCCATAAATGATCACTGAGTCATTTTCACCCCTATTTATTTAATTACTTATTTACTACACTTTTATTAATCTTTAATTTCTCCAACAACCTCCAAATGATTTAATTTATTTTACTTTTGTGGAGACAGGGTTTTTTTGTGCATCCCAGGATGTCCTGGAATTCACTTTTGTAGACCGGGCTGGCCTTGAACTCACAGATATTCACCTGCCTCTGCCTCCCAAGTACTGGGATTAAAGTTGTGCACCATCACTGCCTGGCCACATTTAGTTCCTAAGAACAGAATCAATATACAAAACCAAAGTCCATGTCAAAAGCAAATTCCAGCAATGAAGAAAACAGCTAGAGAACCTCAGTAGCTAGCTGCTAAATACATTCTCCATAATAATAGTAGTATGTGTTAGACCATCACTAGGTATTGGCATTGATTTTCAAAGTGCAATACAACAGTTTGAGTTGTTCAGCTACAGGGTCATGGAAGAATGAAGCATAGTATGTCTGGCCAGAGATTCATTTGTAGTACAAAAAGGAGGATGAGTAAGCTCTCACTGGATG